TATTGTTGAACAGAATATTTTTTCATATTTCTCTTGCTTTTCTGTTTCTTGAGCGAGCTCTGTTTCTTGGCGTTGTTAAATAAAATTAACAATTTCACGTCGAGAAATCTTTTCATACGAGCAGGTTACGACTACTAGCTGGTTACCACTTCTAAAAAACGAGTGAACATGAAAAACAGTCTATTGCATAAATGTAATACAAAAAAAGCAAACCAAACTTATTTAGCTGAGTGGAGCACATTATACTTACCGACTAATAATTCAAAAAGGGCTTATATTTTTAATCCACTCATGTTTCCAGCGCGGTCTCTTCTTTTTAAACCCACGAGGTTAGATTGGGACAGGAGTCAAACAGTTAACCGTCTAAAAATATATAAAAATGAGTGTGCTAAATAATTTTACAACCATCAAAATGACTGTACAACGATGTATTTTATTATGCAGTACTTAAATCAACCTAAACATTTGCACCTCTCAGATTTGCTATGAAAGCCAAGTTATTGAAAACAGATATTGATATTTTTCTGTCTTTTATAACATGAATTTTTAATTGAATTTCGCTGAAATTCAATTATGTGTTGTAGACTCATAACAATTTAAAAATCCGTTACTAAAGACTATCAAAACAAAAAGATAATTCAGCTAATACACCATAAGAGTTATTCATTTAAACTTGAAAAAAGCATTAGTCAAAGCTCTATTTTTGCCTTAACAACATAAAATTATAAAAACTGGCGATATCATTAGCAGCATAGATGAAATACACATAAACAAAAGTGAAGACTAAAAAGCTGCAATGATGTTTAGATATAAGAAAGTGTACCTTTCCAGTATCATTTTCACTTGGTTTTTTGTATCCAAGCCAAAAATTTTGCAAACAGTTCTAAAGATAAATCTGTTGATATTATGTGTATTTTTAAAATTGCTTTCTTAATGACAGACAACAGTTAACAAGGATGTAACATATTTAACATAAAAGTTAAAAAGCCAATCTTTTGTATAAACAATTTCATCATTCAAATAAATAAAAACAACAAAATCATTCAGATTATTTAATAGTATATAAAAAAATTGCAAGCCTACTGAATGCTTCTTTTTTTCTATCGTTCGTTTTACTGGCACTTAAACAAGTAAATATAGAGAGAAATTGTTTACAGGTTTTATTTTTCGTCTGAAAATAAATATTTTAATTTAATATGTAATAAACAACGTTCTTCAAGCACAATACATTAAAAAATTAGTCTAAAAATAAACGGTAAAACCTTTTAAAACACTTACCTGCGACTAACTAAATTGAGACTAGATAATATCGATACCATCTTACTGGTACCACGCCATCAACTTTTGCTTCTTCCGATTAACATTTTTTAGCTAAACAGTTGCAATCGTATATTTATTTCAGTATATATATATATATATATATATATATATATATATATATATATATATATATATATATATATATATATATATATATATATATATATATATATATATGCATTTATATTATGTATTATTTGCATAATATAATAGTTTATTATATAAGTTATTGAATAAACCCGCCTACCGAAAAAAGTTAATTTTTAATTAAATTTCTTATGCAAAAACGTTTCACATAAAAAAAGTTATATAAAAGTATTTTCGTAAACAAAAAACGGGCCAATCAGAACGTAATAAAGATATTGTAATTACGACACTGTGAGTTAAAACACATCTTTGTTAGGTTCTATAGACCTTTTCATAAAGCATTCCGTGAAAACGAGGCAGTGTTTGTAACAATCAAAACAAATCGACGATGTTTAAAAATGGCGATATTGTTTGGGTTGCAATGTGCTTTTTCTAAATGTTTTTCAAATAGCTATGATAGATAATGTAAATGGAATTAGAGTTCCAACAAATATTATATTTTTCACATTTCTAACTGTAGAAAGAAATATTTGGTGTAACTTAATAAAAAGACAAGAAAATAAAGATAATTTAAAGACAATAAATCTAGTTGATTATGTCAAAAGCATTTCTTACAAGAAATGGTCCATAAAACCCCATTTGGTACACAAATAAAACTTATAAAATTTTTTAGGACAATATTGCACTCATGAAATAAATTTTCAGTGTCAGATAAATCCAGAAAACCACAAAGTTTCAGGCAATGTTTGTTTGAAAATGTCGATGACGATTCGTTTGCATCAGCACAATTTTCGCTACAAAATGAAGTAGATATCTCTTTATCGACATTATTGTCAGTGCCACTAGAGGAAGTAGACTTTAAAGTAAATGTTGCTGAAGGTAAATTAGTAGATTCATTTATCCAGTATAGTTTATACTGGATTTCCATCAATAACCAAGCTGTTTAAGCATTTTTAAATCTTGGAAAAAAATGGAAAAAACAATTTTTTATAACAATCAATAAACAAAAACAGTTCATCTACCGGACGAACAAGAGTATTAAAGCCGCTTGATGCATTTATTTTAACATTGACTTATTTACACGTGAACTGTGATCTTTGTTTTTATTTATTTTTATACAATATTTCAGATGGAACAGTTTTAAACACTGTAAATACATGGATATATTTTATGTATAAGACATCTGCATATGGCCTTGTATAGAGTGAGTTAGGAAGAAAATTTCGTAATGAATGCAGGAAAAGCTCCCTACTGTAAAATGTATCGTTGATTGTGTAGATTACAAAGTTAATCAACTATCTTGATTATTTATGCACAAAATTATGTAATTAGATAATAAAAATACAATAGTTAAAGTTTTAGTAGGAAATGCACCCAGAAAAGGATTTATGTTTATTACGTTAATCAAGGTATAACTGTAATGAGTGACTGTGGCTTTACAATAGCAGAATACTATAGACCATTTAGTGTTAATATTGTTTTACCATCATTTGGTTAAGGGCAGAGAAAAACTTACTATTCTTTGTGGAGAGAATACTATAGTAATAATAATAATAATATATTCATAAAATTCAATTATTATAAAGGCCAAATATTATAGTTGGTACATGGTGAAAATAGTATATATACTAAATATATATATGAAAAAATATGATTTGTCAGATCATTGTATAAATTTTAGCAAATTAGCTATTTTAGCAAGTAAAAGAGTTCTAAAAGTGTAAAAGATATGTAAAGTCAAGAGAAGAAACATGAAGATGTTGCATTATACCTGTGTTTTTGGAGCTATTTTTTGAAGAATTTAAAAAACAAAGAGAAAAAGACAAAAATACAAAAAAATGCAATAAATAAAAAATTTAATTGAAAAAAAAAATAATTTATTAATCAAGAAATAACTCCTGATGTTGAAAGTTTTAAATACTTTTTCTGATTTAGTGGAAGAGCTTAGAATTGGTTTTTACCTAATATTACTTAAATATTTACTTTTTTAATTTATTGACCTTATTTACGTATTTTATTTTATATTTAAGTTAATTTTTTATTTAGTAAAAATTAAAACAAAAAATCTATTAAAAAAAATTACATAACTGCCAATTAAGAAAAAGAAAAGAATCCAGAAATGGAGAGCTAATCTTAGGCAACAACATGACAATTTACAAATGGAGTGCAAAGTCCTACGGCTTACCTTCTTGTTGGTACACTTTGTTAAATAAGTTAGACAAGTAGTAAATGTCTAATTAATGAACAGAATAGCCAAAGCAACATTTTTTTTAGTTTTATTTAAGATGAGTAATTGAGACCAATGCTAAGTAAGTAATAAAATAATACCTTCAAATTTTGTTGCTTGATTCATAAAAATCTTTATTCATCATTGCATCACTTAGTTTATGATTCAAAAGATAAACATCTGGCAGATGTTAAACTTTTAAAATCATTTCTAAAAGTGCAGTTTAGCTTGTACTTTCTTGACTTTCACATAGCATCATTAAATAGAAAATATAGTAATTAAAAATTAAATTTTAAAAACTATTTTAAAAAAATTACATAACTGCGTATTTAGATAAGGAAAGAATCTAAAAATAGAGGGCTAACCCAAGTCTACAATACTAATACTTTACTCTTTTAAGGCTACAATACTTATAATTACTGTGTGTGTGTATATATATATATATATATATATATATATATATATATATATATATATATATATATATATATATATATATATATATATATATACACGCTCACATATATATATATATATAAATATATATATATATATTAAGTATATAATATATATATGCGTTATGTATACATAATGTATACAGTGATGTTACATAATGTATATGTAACATCACTGTATGCAAAAAAACGTTCTTCATCAAAGCTTTGCATGGTTTATTTTTGTACAACCCGTAGGTTTTGACGACTTTTGGAATGAGTGTATTTCCATAGTTTAATTATTATTTATGTTACTGCTATAAAAACAATATTAAAGTGATTTGAACAATATAAACTCAAAGTTTGTTTTGATTGTTACAAACACTGCCTCGCTTTGAAGAATCTCCTTTCTCCGTCGCAGATATTTATGAAAAGGTCTATTGGCAATAATTATTTTTAATTTTCTTAAACAAATAATGATGTCCTTATTAACAACCGATTGACGTCTTTTCGACCTATTTTTTGAAGACGTCTTTTCAAAAGGCGTCTTTCACACGTCTTTATTTAGGCTGATTATAAAAAGACATAACAAGTCATAAAAAAGACGCCTTTTATTCGTCTAAAGATGTCTTTTTTCCCACTGGACTATTACTCCAGTGACCACTTTAGTTAAAGGAGCAATTCATTTTTAAAAAATGTTTTGTCTCAATCCTTAACATTACCATTTTTACTAAAAAACAACATTAACAATTAATATTTTTTAACAAAAACGCTGTGCGGAATAATAGATTGAGCACAGTAATTTCAGCAGAGGTAATTTAAACCCCAACCTTCTGATAGCGAGCCAAATGTTTTACCGCTAATCTACTAGCACATTATATCTATAGTGCAAAAAGGGACTTCATCAATTATAAATGATGTTAATTAATTCCTCTAAATTAAAAACATGTTCAGAATATTTTTGACCAAAAAAAATCACAAAAATTATTATGACTATTAACTTATTTAAAGTTAGTAAGAAAATATAAATGTTGCAAACTAGTTTTTTATACTAACATGCTCAACATATTATTTCAAAAACTAAGTTTACAACATGCAACATGCAAGTTTGCAAAATGATGTTGCAGCCTTGTAAATTATTGTCAATCAGGATGACTATAAACACATTTTAAACATTTTTGCATCATAATAGAAAACTGTTAGCCTAATCACTACATTTTTTTAACAGAACATTATACTGTCCAGCTTCCTGGAAAAGTTATCGGCCTGATCAACATTATACAGTAATTAACTTAATTTTTTTACTTTATACGATCATATTAGTATTTTTAAAATGGTAAGATTAGCTTCCATTGGTAAGCCAGGTTTTTGGGCTTCCATCATCAATTGACAGTCTTCATAAGAATGAGCATAAACAGGAAGTTCAGCTAATCTAACTTGGATATTTAGAACTTAAATAATGTAACCAATAACTAAAATATTTCTTTATACAAAATTACATGAAATAATTTAGCAATTATATCCAAATAATTAAGATAAGAGAGTAATGATTAGCCGATTTGGGATGATATTGGCACTTCATAATGTTTTATTTTAAAGATTATGGGGAGATGTATATATATGTATGTATGTATGTATGTATGTATGTTTTAAAAACATCATAAAATATATTAAAATCATGTATTTAGTTCAATATATATGTAGAACCAAATAATGACTAGCAGGTACAACAAGCCACTAAAAATTTATATTATATAAATTGAACAACACAAACAGTTCTACTTAAACTCCTTATTATGGAATGTGAAGTAAGATAAGAAGGACTACTTTATGTTTTGCACAAATCTAACCAATTTTTGATGATTTGACAGTAAGAAATTTGTAATTTTTTTCTAAATACTCAAATATTTTTTAATTCAATATAGAGCTTGTCTAAGTTAATGCAATTTTCAGTTATATTTGATATATTTTCAGAATATGACAAACATGATGAACACAGAACAAAAAGTTGTTAATGGTTGTGAAAACAAAAATTAAATTATGTTGTTTGTGGCAAAATCAACTAATTATAGCAAATCTTGCAAATGAGCAAAAATAAGTTCTTTAATAAAAGTGTTAGATTTAAATTGTTTAATTGTAATATTTTAGAATAATATTTAATATATGCATTACTAATAATAATGTTATACAGACTATAGTTAAGATTTATTAATTATATTAAAATTTAGTTGTTTAAGGAAAATATGTACCCCAATAATTGAGAAAAACCATAACAACAAATTCGCTTTAATATTTTAAAAAATAATGCAATATTTCATTTTTAGAACATGTATAAAGATTATAAGGAAGTTATTACAGGGTGTCGCCTAGAAAAGGAAATTAGGGAATTTAGATTTCTGCAAAAGACGAAGGAGTAATCAGGGAAATTAGGTTGTATTTTGAAATAATCAGGGAAAATGGATATATAGCAAATGTATATGACTTTTTCCAGTTTTGTATTATACACATAATGTAAAATTTATTCAGAAGATTCTTTTTATGGCCTTCTATTGATAATTTGAATATTGCTTATAATTATATTTATATATATTTGCACTAAAGCACTTTTCTGAAAGAATTTAAGTTTATTTTCCCTAAAATTTTGTTGCTTTAAATTAAGTCAGCAAAAACAGGTTGAGAATCAGGGAAAAGTCAGGTAAATCCATATTTAAATATTGGCAGACACCCTGTATTATATTTAATTTATTTGCTTAAGGAAAACAACATCGTACATACCCTGGAACACTGGGAGAAGAATAGAAATAGTTGTTAGTTAGTAAATATTATATTTATTTGAAGACTACAAGACAAAACCCACATTAATTCATAATTTTAATTTTGATAAAAATAGCATTTTGTGTATGATGAAGTTAGCTTTATATATGTAATATATGACTGTTAGTTAATTTCTGTACATAATCACATTCAAACATCTCAGTATTGCATAATACATTTTTTGTAGTAAAATTAAACATCATTGCACGATGAAAAGGAAGGATATACACAAATTAGTTCCACTGGGTGCACAAATATGTGAAATTGTTGTTTTTCCTGTCTTCTACAATGCAAAAGAGTCTCAATCTTTAGTGGTATTTGTTATATTGTTGTTATAGTGTTGTGTTATGTCTTGAGTAATAACTTTTTTTTTTTTTTTTAATTAATTTTAAAATTGATAACAGTTAATTAAAAAAAATAATAATAATTTTTCTTCTTAAAATTATAGATTCAGGATGGTGTTGATATACGCATCATTGTTGGCAACGAACTGTCATAAAACAATATTAATTTGGCACAAAATCTCTTGGTACAGAAAGTTTAAAGTTTTACTTAGTCAATCCAAAAATATAAAAACAGAAAAAGTTACCGTAAACAATTTTATGTAAACAAAACGCAATTGTAAAACGCTTTAGTGGTCAGACGCGATTGTAAAACGCTTTAGTGAACAGGCTGTTGACACAGCTGTAAACGATATCAGCGAGATGAAACTTGAGTTAAAACAGAAATATTTGAACATTTAAACTGTGCGCAGTTTTATATTGCATTGTTTTATCACTTATTAAAAAGTTGACTTTCGTTATTTGTGTTTTGGTTTGTAAGCATCTGAAAAAAGTTTAGTAAAAAGTTTTTATTAGTATTATTATAGTTCTTCGGTAATACTTTCTCTTTTTAAGGTTTTAAAATACAATTTCCTCATTTAAAGTGTCTATGCAGTATGGAATAGTCTTGTATAAGTGGCTTGTTGAATTATATATTATAAGTATTATTTAAACTATTAACATGAGCACTGTTGTATTATTAATTATGAATTTGTTTCGAGAAATTAAAGTACTTATTTGTTTTATTTTTTAGCATTCTTTACTTGAAAATATGATTGGAATTTAGTAGGATCGGAATAAATACAAAATAATCTTATAAGATCTTACAAATCTTACTAAGAATTCAAACAATAACTTGGAAATCTTACTAAGAAATGAAGATAAATCTTACTAAACTTATAATGATCTTACATTTCTTACAAATCTCATTAGTAAATCGCACGAAAACATTCAAAACTTAATAAGATCTTACTAGTTTTCTTGCACGTCTCGAAAGTCTTACTAATCTTACTAAGAATCTTATTAGGAAATCTTATTAAGATTTGTAAGATTCGTCGCTATGGGAGTGTTTTGTTAGATTATCAAATGCAATCTTTTATAAATTATTAGATTACTGTTTATATAAAAACCCAACCACGACGTTTTTAGCTGAGAGCCAAGCAGGCACCAACGGATTGTAATAATGGAAGTTCATTAAGTTATTATAAATTCAATTTAATAAAAAGAAATTTGTTTGTTTTATAAGTTTTCAATTTTTTTTGTTTATATGATTAAATTTATACGTTAGCAACCGTAACTATTAGCTTTTTAAGTGTTTTTCAAAAACTTTCCAATACAAAATAGTTTTAGCAAATGTAGAAATATATTTATTGAAACACCCAACTTACGTCATAGAAAAGTAACCGTGGGATTACTTTTCTATAACGTCATTAATGAACTTGGTTTGTTCAACAATTTCCTGATTCTACAACGCTGTAAAATGGCGTTATATAGAAATCGCTACTGTCCTAAAAATATTTTTACACAAACTACCATTCATAATGATTAAAAACATTTTACCCGCTGTTTAGTTTATAAAAAAATCTTTTGATAAAATTTTTTAACTTAAAATATTTTTACAATTTTGTTTTCAGACATTTAAATTGTTACTTAAAATTATTTGTCACTTCATAAAAACATTCATTTAATATGCGTATCACACATATTTTCCAAAACTCCAAGATTTTTTATATTTATCTTGTATGAAACTCTTAATTTACCTTACTTGTATAGTGGGTGTTTAATAAATCTGAAATTTAAATTTAAATTTAAATTTTTAAAAAAATGTAAAATATTTCTTCGGCTTTCGCGGCTTCACTTCACTTCTCTAAATAAATAAAGTTTATATATGTAAATATTTGCTAAAAACGAGCGCAACGGATGCCTTTGACCTTAATGGTATGAAATACTTGCCAAAATAGACTTGTCAAACCTATAAACAAATATTATATGTTTATTATTTGTACGCGTTCACAAGTTATGAGAAGTTTTAATAAAGAAAAATGAGAAAAATAAAAATGCACGGGGTCCTACCAAAAAGGACTTATGAATGAGAGAGAAGAGAGCCAGTTTGACATTTTACAGCAATATTGCTAAGCCGAGCATGACCAAGATTAATTTTTGAAATGCCAGTGCCAAACAGTTATCAATTGATCATGTACTAAGATCAATTGATAACTTTTAGGCGCTAAAATTCCAAAAAATTTTCTAAATTAACATATCTGGTTCACCCAAATAAGTAGTTTTATTTCTATTGCAGTTTTTTTCCTCCATTGTTTGGTTTTGTATTTAGAGATTGGCTTTGTTTCATAAAATTTTATATCAAAAAAAAAATACTTCAAAAATTGAAAATTTCCTGTATTGATTTTGTATTTCGTAAATTAGTTGTCTATGACATCTCATCTCATATTCATGAAATATGAGATAAGACGTCATAGAAATCTCAAGAATAAAGAAAAGTGTTACTAAGTATGTTTACTGTCTTTAAATAAAACACGTGATATTTTCCAATCGGCTGGTATAAAAACTGTTTCACTTTCTTTTTTTATAAAATCGATTTATAAAATGAAGACAGTGTTTGCAATTTTGTTTTTAGCATTCATTGCGTTGACATACGCAAGAAGTAAGTTAACAATATGTTAAATTTTTAGTTTCTTACATTTATAATCTATTAAATTAAAAAATTTATTTCTATTAAAAACGTTATTAAATGTGTTTTAGTAGTTATACTAATTGTAATACCTCTAATTCTTTATTAACGCATTTTTCTCGTTTTATAGATTTATTTCATTCTTTTTTATAAATTGTAAACTTTAATGCGAAAATTAAAATAAATAAAATTAAAAAAAAAACTAATAATAAAATAATACTTACATTTAGGTTATGAGGATGTGAAAGAAGAAATTAAGAATGAAGTTGTAAAAGAAATACTTGAAGATCTTGAAGAAGAAAGTGACGAATTAGATGATAAAAGTAAAGGTAATTGACTTCTTCATCTTTATTTATATTGTATTTTATTCCAACTGTGAGTTAATTTTTAAAGAAATCTTTGAACTTTTTAGAAATCAATGATGCAAAGCCATATAGATGGTTACGAAATAAATGGTGGAGGAGAATTCGTCCTGACATTAGGATGGCTGGTAAAAAGTAATAGAAACAACTAAGATAAAACTTTATGTCGTATCAGCTTATATAAAATTGTATCAAACTATTTTGGCATATTGTTATCGGTATTTAATAGTAATATTAAATACTTTGATTTTTTATATTTAAACTACTTTTAAACGTTTTTGTATTATCATAAACAACTCTATGATTAAAAAGAAAGATTATAATAGCTTTAATCTAAATTTATTTGTTTATATATATATATATATATATATATATATATATATATATATATATATATATATATTTTTTTTTTTTTTTTTTTTTTTTTTTTTCTTTGTTACTATTATCCGTAAATAATATAGCCATCATCAAATCTTGTCATTCAAAATGTTGTCAAATATAAAAAGAAAAAAAATATGTATATTAAATAAAGTTAATAAACTCTAAAATTTATTTTCAATAATAATTGAATACTAAGCAAAATAAAAAAATAAACAAACAAACAAAAATTCAGGACTATATATGACAGTTTTTAATTATTGCGATTAAGAATTCTTAATTAGGAAATACAATGAAAAGAATTTAAAATTTTACGGAAAAAGTTGTTAAAGAACCAAGTTTTTAAACCTTTGCAAATAAAATGAAAATATTCTATACAATATTTTAAAGGCCAACAATTACATATAGCTCAAGAAGAAGTCCTTCATGTTTTGATTAATTAAAATTATTTCTTTTAGTTTTGATATTGAAATATTTATGTTTGCGAGCGTTTTGATATCATTTCTAATTTTTATAATCCATATACTCAAGCTGTGATAGAAAACTTAGTGGCTTCAAAGTGAGTTTTAGCTTGAATATAATTATTGTTTATATATCTAGTAAGATATTTGTGTTGTATTTTTTTAAATAGCGTTTTAAAAATATTTGGCATCGTATCGTTAAGGATTTTAAAATGTATAATTATACATAAAAATTAAATGGTGATATATATTTATTTGGTAAATATTTAAAAATTTTAGATTAAATAATAGTGATTGTGAATGAGAGAGACGGTCTGCGTTGGATATTATTCTTATGGCATGTTTTTGTTTGCTGAATAGTTTGTTTATTTTTTTTTAACTGGTGCTGCACCAAGAAATGTTAGCATAATTGAAATAACAATGGATAAAAGTAAAGTAGCTATATTTTAAGCAAATTTGATTTAGGTAAGTTTTTACCTTATAAAGCATGCCAATATTTTTAGAAATTTTATTTTCGATTAATTTTATGTGGTTTATCCATGTGACATTTTTGTCAAGAAGAACTCCTAGAAACTTCATTGAGTGTTCTCTTTTTATAAATTGATTCGCAATGCTAACAGAGAAAATTTGTCTCTTTGATAAAGGCGATGAAAAAAAATATACTTAGTTTTGGTTAAGTTTAATGACAATTTATTTGTATTAAACCATTCAGTTACTTTTAACAGTTCTTTGTTGACTGTTTTAAATGGGGTTTTTATATTACTATGGGAATAAAAAAAATTGGTACCGTCAGCAAACAAAATAGAGTCTAAAATATTCTCCAGCGGGCATTTTGACGTCCTAAGGACGTTTATAAGACATCTAAAGTCTTGTCCGTAAGACGTCCTTAGTTGGTCTCAAATGAAAGACCTGAGGACGTCTATTTCAGACGTCCTAGAGACGTTTATTGTAGACGTCCTAGAGACGTCTTTTCAGCCGTCCTATCCACGTCTCTGGCAGGTCTCATGTGAAAGACTTAAGGACGTCTTACTCAGACGTCCTAGAGACGTAAATTTACCTAGACATTCTTTTAAAAGTTATATAAAAATGCAATGATATGCAATACACACCTTAGATGGCAAGTGAAGGTATAAAGAGAAATCAAAGTTCATAAAGTGTAATTTCATATATTTTAAATAAATTATTAGTTTTACAAAAACTTAGAGAAATTATCCAAACAAAGTTGCACTTTTCAAATTAAAAACTAATATATTTTGTACAGTATAATCGATAGTATATTATAAGTAAAAAGAAAATAACTGAAAAATGCAAAATAAATAAAAAAATAACAGTTGACTAAAGTTATTTAAGTAAACATTTATCGATAACGATATTGGTGGATTTTTTATTGAATGGGTCAGAAGAATGC